CGTCTTTTTGAGCAAAAGGTGAGAGAAGATTTGAATGTTTTGCTGACAAAAGTTGAAGCACTGAGGCACCTACACCAATCTTCTATTATATGTTTTTGTATCCACTGTGACATTCAGACTCAGGAAGCAGCTGCTGAGGAACCCAGCAGCAAGGTCTGGCACAAACAGAACTGGCATTTCAGGACTTAATTTTTTCACGTGTTGCTTTCTGCACTTACTTGGAATTTGGCAAAGCAGACATTTACTGACAGAACAAGATAACACAAGCAATTCACATTCGCAGCACGTAGGAATCAGAACTGTGCAGAATCTGACAACTATCTAAATATTTACCTTAATGATCTCATAAAAAGGAGAGACTTTTACACAAGAATGAGGGAGACTGTGGTGGAGACAAACTTTGAGAATGCCTGAAAAATCAAGGACTGGTTATAAATATCTACCCCAGTGAATTTCTGCTAGGAGATCCTTAACCACTGAATTAAATTTTCTGATGATTCTTGCATTTGTAACTGCAAGCAGATGCCAGGGAAGATAGAAGAGGCACACATAAAAAGAGTTTAAGTGAGTCTGGTGAGAATTCTGTAAAAATTGAAATAATTTCTCTATAAGCACCAGTTTTTGACACACCCATAGAGCACTCAAAATCTCATTTCTCATGCTCTGCTCGTATGCACTGTCATTCCAGCAAAGGAACAGTGATGATGCAGGAGTACATACCATACTGATTTATGTGAGTAAAGGGATCATTGACTGTGAGAGGTTTGGAGGTTTATTTCGTTTTTATAAAAGGCGCATATGTTTTACATGGGCTATGTAAAATATTTCTGCTAATGGGAAGTTATTACATGTGCATCCTCTGTGTATAATACACAGAGAAACTTTCAAACAGGGTATGGAAATGTGCCTTTTTTTTCCTCTACCTTTTTTCTGGTTTTGTTTTTTTTTTCTTCCCTGTAACATGCCAATCATTCATATTAATATCTAGGTAGCCTTACTTTCTTGCTGAAAATGCCATCTTGACAACTAGAGTTGGATAGTTGCTGCCTTCCAAGTCTGCAAGACTCTAACATTATCAAACATCACTAACTGGACTTTACTAAATGGCATTTTAAGAGAATTCTTAAAGCACACATATTTGATCCTTAAAAAAAATGTATTAAAGGTGGAAATACAATACTGACTGTCCAACTGAGCTAAAATCTTTCATGGTATTTGCTGTTCTTTATAGAGTTTAGTTAACCTTTCATTTTTTCAGCATCTCAGTTTTTGTTACCACGCTTAAACATAATCAGCTGGCACTTCACTAAATTGCAGTAGCTTTAGCCTTTTTTCATGGACTGGATTCTTTTACGGTGCCTGTATTTGCAACAGAAAAGATAAAAAGGGAATAAACATTCCAAGGTTTCATTGCAAATACCAAACAAAGGTGAAAAAAAGTAATCAGCTCATATGGTGATGTGAGATCATAGCTGAAGGGGAAAAAAATCTGCCTATGCTGTTTCAACCAAATCTTTAAAATACAAATACAACAGGGAATCCAATCCCAAAGACATCTCAGGGACACAGTGGTTAGTGACCTTATACCTGGTATATGAAAAAGTGCTTGTTAACCAGCTTGAAGAACAACCTTCGCAACAACCTTTGTAGTCTTCACACGAAGGTGTAATCTAGACCACAATAATATCCAGACTTTACCTGCTCCACAAATGTGAAAATCATAAACACAGGTTTCTCTCAAGTTAATTGATTTGAATTGCCCTTTGAGGCACAGTCATGTGGTATTAACATCGTCAAAGCCAGAGTTGCAATGTCTGCAGCATTTGGATGCACCAGTTGAGGCTGATCTTTGTTCTGAGACTGCTGCACTATGCTCTAATTAACTTTAATAAGAACCTAATTTGGAAATAATTACTGAAGAGTTGTTTTCCCTACATTAAAAGCAGGGCACATTTATGGGTAGCTTCCATATAAACTTTCCAATCTGACCATCTCCTACCCACATGGAGACCTGACTTTGGCATCCTACCAGAAAATGTAGTAAGCTAGCTAATATTTGGTAAATTATATATTCAACTGCTTGGTAAGTTTGGGCATGTCTGAAGAAAGTTCTTTGGGCTGCACTTGCAGAGTTGTGATTTGTATTCCTTGTGAGTGGACTTAAGGTGAAGGCGTTATTCACATTTTAATGTAAATATGAAATCTGAGCAACCCAGCCTGATCTCATCAGTGACTGTGCTTTGAGCCAGAGGATGTTAGACACCCCCTGAGAGGTCCATTCCCATCTGAATTACCGTGTGAGGCTAAGTAGATTTACCATGGAATCACTGATAAATGGTAAATATGCAGTTGCTAGTAATGCTTTTAGATTTACCTTTTGGAGAAGAATTGCATTTCAAGGAGCTGTTGCCCTTTCTGTAAGTATAATTTCCACATGTTCCTCTAATGGGAAGGAGGTCATTAGGTAACCTAATAATCATGTTCTCTTTTCAATGGAATCCTAGTGTATTCAGTTCTTTATCTGGAAAACAATGAAGTAACAAACTGAAATGAAGAAAAAACCATCACCAATATGAGGGAAAAAGATTCAATGAGGACAATACAAAATACTGCACCTAGAAACCCTTCCCCTTCCTTCTCTAGAGAGCTGTTAAAAGATCAAGGTACAGAAAGAAACATGGCAAAATAAACAAGCTGTACAGATTTTGCAGTAGGTGGGACCATCTGGACCCAGGTAATGTGACCCTAAACAATCTGCCCTTCAGTTGCAGGGGAAGGGAAAGAAGTCTTGTGACTTGTAGCTAAAAAGCTGAGATGGCAATGTAGCTTATTTGCACCTTGATCCCATTATAGAAAATAATTATTATTTGTTATTTCAGATAAGGCAAGTGAATATGACCAGGCACCAGATTACATGTTCACGCTATGTGATTTGTGTCAAGTATCTAAAAAACACCAACTGAGCTAATAGATGTGTGCTGATATTCAAGTGGCTTTCTCTGCTGTATTTCTGCAGACCAACTAGACCACAATCTAGTGTTTTTCCTCAGCGTTTCTTCCTATGCACCAAGATTTTGTCTAGCCTTAGAGCAACATTACAAAGATGGACTGTTTATGCCAAGAGCTTATCTGTTTATTGCAGAATTAGATGCATATCAATGAATAAGCATGAGACCGAGTAGTAGTAGTGTATGTACAGTGAAGCAAAGCAGAATAGTTCTCAGCAACTAGCCAAGAATTCAGTCCATTTAGGAACTTGTAGTGTGCTTTTATTTTACATTCTTAAAATAATCTTTTACAGTAATGCAGTCAGAAGGGTAGCTTCTGAAGGTCATATAGTGTCACTGATGAAAAGCTTAAGCAGGAAGCTGTAAGAGTTCTACTAGATGTGAGGCTTGCTCACACTGTAGAATTTTAAGAGCAACTTTGAATATGTTCTGAGCAATGTAGGGAACTAACTCTTAACTTCCTGTGCAAGAACTGTCTTGTTGGAGTCATTAAGTTCTACCACACACAAATTATTTCCAATTAGAACCTAAAGCTGCTTCAAACAACAGAATCCTGACTGATGTATTAGAAGGCAGGTAACTTGATTTATGGCAACAGTAAAAATAACAAGATTTATTTGTTACCTTGCTGCACTGGTACTGGTACTGGTACACTGCACTGAATGGTATGATTCATGGTCACAATTAGAAATTACTAAAAACAGGAAAACAGAGGACAAATATGACCTGATTTCAATTTATGTCAAAGCATTGTGCTTCCTGCTTCAAAGTCATGCTGCATGAATATGGGAACATTTGCAGTGCACTTACAAAATCATGGTTTGTTTTATGTGAGATTGGACCTCTGCAGGGTATAGGTGACTTGATTCTCTGGCTATATGTGGGGTATTCTGGAGTGCAAACTAGAGAGTCTTAGGCTTACTGGTATAAACTGTCCTGAAAGGAATAAGGAAGCTTGAATACCTTTGCAAGATCATTTTGGTTACTGCTAGGATTGTATTGTTTTGATAAAAGTACTAAAGTTATAACTGGGAAAGCATTTCCAAACATATTACTGTAAAGAGATAATACTTTTACTCTACAATATATGGTGATATTATATGAAGGCATGAGGTAAAAATAGCAGGCTTCAAACCTATTATAGAGAGGAAAGACAAAACGGTAGATGAAAGAAGTGAAAAAGTATTCATTACATTCAGATTACATGGGTGAAAATTTCCTTTTCTTGTACAATCTCAAAAAAAGCTCAATCTAATAATCTTCCCAGATAATCACCAAAACACATTTCACTCCATGCCTCTACCTTCTCTTTTTTTACTTTTACAGCTTTCCAATCCAATGATTGTTAGATATGTATACAATTATCTACTTGGTTATCTGCTCTAATACATTGGATACAGTCAATCAATTTTCACTGCACTTACAGCTAAGAAAGGTAGAAATGCCTTCATGCCTTAGCTGCTAGCTGTATGCTAGCAGAGAATAGATGCAAATACAAAAATGCCAAGTGATACTTTTGAATAGAGATCACAACATATTTACATGCAGATCCTGCCTCCATTATACTGCCAATTTCCTCTTTGGGTTCAGGGATCCACATTCTCCTTGATTCTTATTTTAATCTGATAAACATATAATTGAAGAAGCTTTTATTTTGACTTCAACTTCTCATTTCTATTGTGCCCCCCACAAGTCTGCACTGATTACTCTTTCTTTAAAGATATGCTAACATTTTTAATGATTTGAAGGTAAGGAATTAAATACCACTTCAGCTTAGACTAGTTAGAGCTTGCTTTATGTTTCTGCACAAAGATGTTCTCTTTGCTTTTCTGCATGTATCACAAGCAATAGGAGATGAGGTGTCTCTATCCTCTGTTCTCCATTTTTCAGTGGGAGAGAAACTACTCGCAAGTTCCTCTGGCTGATGCACTAACTAAAGAGGTTCAGTCTCTTTCCCCTATGAATGGATTGCCATTAGGCTTCAGAAGAAGAAAGAGATACAGGCTGTACGAGATCTTACAGATCAACTGGAGTACTGTTCTTGGAAGAAAAAAATCAGGTTTATATCCTTATGTAAACATTTTTGATAACTTATAGCTTATTAAAAAGTTGGGTATTGGTTTAAGGTAGTGGGTATGTCTCTGGTACCATTTTGCTGTGCTATTTCCTTTATAATTGCTGAAGCAGGCTGTCAAGCTGCTTAGGGTTTAAAAGATAGGATATTTGATATACCACCAAAGTGGTAACTTCGGTGGGAATCAATCTTAGTTGGCAGCTGAGCATATGCTAGGCAGACTGAATCCCTAAAGCCTGAAAGTTTGGGGAAATCTTAGATGCCTTAATATGTGAGAGTATCTATATTTGAAGATAAGCTCAACGTTAACTTATGTGGTTCCTTTTAGCACCTGTGTGTATTTGAAATTATGGCTCAGCTTCCTCTAGAGCTTCTTTCAGATGTAGCCTGTAGCCATTGCAGATAAAGGCAAGTCTGGACCATAGTATTTATTCCTTGCCCTCATTTGCCTGAAATTCTCTTTGTTTTAATTTATTGTGTTGGATTTGGACAAACGGATCTGTAGTTTAATAACTTATTTGCTTTCTGCCCCTGTCATTTAAACAATTTTTGCATTCTAATTCATTTCTCTGAAACTTCAAAACTTTTTTCTCAGAAATCCTGAAGATAGATTTCTTTCACTTTGAATTTTGAGATTGTATCCTATGCTTAAAATCTTGGTAGGAAAAAATAAAAAGCATTCATTGAAAATTTTAAATAACCCCCACCCAAAATCAAACATACTGGAGAAAATGTCATGTTTTCAGTGGACTATTGTATTTTTTTCCTTCTTTCTCATTTTTCAGTTCAGACAAAACCATACCAACATCAAACTGCACACTGCCACATCGCTACACTGTAAGTCACCTGCTGAACTACTCATAACACTGCCCAGTGCATCAAGGAGAAGGTCCTACATCCAAGTACTAACCATGTTTAGCCTGTGGAGACTGACAAAATCACAGCAGAAGGTAATAAATAGTTTTCAGACAGGCACTGTATGCTTTTCTCTGGAATTAATTTTTACAGGATTTAGGTTAAGCTAATGTGAGCTACATTATTTTATTATACTAGCTCTAAGACACTGAAATAGCCACAGCTTCATTATTTGTGCAGGACTCAAAATGCAAGAAATGCAACATGGCTTGCATTAAACCGGAGAAGATGTGAAGCAGCCGTTCAGATCTGCGCACACTGAGATTTCCTATCATTTGATTTTCTGTTGCTTCACTGGTGCTGCTGCCTGTAAGCAATAATCTGGATGTTTCATGATCTTTGAAGTCCCTTTAAATCTAAGCCATTCTGTAATTATATTTCATATGTAATTGGGATAAACAATGCTTTCATTTTCCAAATACTAAGATTTGAGTAAGAATCCCTTTTCATTGCAGGGGCGTTGGACTAGATGACCTTTAAAGGTCCCTCCCAACTCTATGGATTCTGTGATTCTATAATGTGAGCACATGGACTATTCTGCTGTGCAGGCTCTTCATTTTTGTTATTACATTTGTGCTGTTTTGTGTTTTTTTTTTTTTTTAAAGTCTGGTTTAAGGAAGCTAATAGAACTGTTTCCAGCCTTTGGGGGCTGGATTCAATCCAAATTCATGAAGGATGTAGACCATCATCTTAGTAAAAACACTTCCAAAATTTGTCTTTTTGCTAAAACAAGGCCACCTAGAAGATGAAACCTTTCTTCTTTTTTTTTTTCTTTTTGTTTTCCCCCTCCTCTAAAAAACGTAATTACACTCTGATTTAAAACTCTAATTGAGTGCACTTGCATTGGTAAGATGTTCTTTCCCTTTAGGGACTGCATTCCTATTAGTCACACAAGCTGTCTAATCATTTCATGGTCCTTTTTTTTTTTTTTTTTTTCCCCCCCACACCCTGTACTTCTATTATAAATGAGAAATTTAAAGCTTTTTTTTTTTAAAAAAAAAAAAAAAGTATCACAATTATATCCCTATAAATTTAGCAATCACTTATGTTGAAACAGTAAGTCATATCTTCATTCACTGTAAATTATGATGATTCTGTGGAATTCAGCAAGGAAAACTTACTTATATCAGCTAAGAATCTGACCCATGATAACAAAATGAATATACTGAAGAAGGGAAAACTCTTAATTTTTTCAATCTGGAGAATTTATACCCTGGCTATTAAAACACAGCAGCTGTGCTGTTAGCTTGGATCTTATTAGTGTTATAAGTTTTTTGCATTAAACACAGAAAAAAATCATTCAAAATGCAATACAATGCAATCCTTCTGGTTAAGGACATTGTAAATTTTATGAATATAATGAGCTTTATAGACAACACTACCTTTCCTTTGGCTGAGTAGTGACTTTATTTGAACCCTGATTTTGTAATGAGAACAAAGGAAATACTGGAATTATCATCTTTTCTGTTACCCCATCTCTGCTGTCTCTAAGCTTAGCTTTCTAGGCTTTCTAGTTTGTGAAATTCTGAAATTGCACTTTTACAATCAGAACCTATGCTTCACCAAGTACTTTGTTAAGCTGACAGTGCTTACCTACAGCTATAGGAGTATTTAAATTCTAGGTTATCAGGAGACCACATTGTTTTTCTTCCACCAAATCACATGGAATGCTGGTAAGTCCTGGTAAAATCAAGTATGTGCGCTTTTCTAAAGCTAAGGAGTTATAGCTTCTGTAGTCATTGCACAATCTGTAAAGTAAAAGTTGCTAGCATTTAAGCATATTTTACGTTCTTTGCCTTCAGGCCTTAATTCATAAGCATCATCTTTGTTGTAAGTTTAAAGTTTTTAAGGGAAAGCACTCAATTACATGCAGTGTATGGAAAATCTAGGTCAACCACTAATCTATGGCTTGTAATGAATTTGGATGGAAGGAATTCAAGGCTCTGAAGTATCATGTTTCTCTCATGCTTCTCTTTATTGACTGCAAAAGTTGTAGGGTTTCTCAATGAAGTTCATTTTGGTCTTTTATTTGAGCAAATGATGATCCACCATGAATCTTTTCAATTTTGGAAATCTTTCATTGCTTCTGTGCTTTTCTTTTGTAAAGATTTATCCATGATTGCATGAAGGAAAATAACAAGAAAGGAACATTTCTAGAAATAATAATAATGAATCTTACAAAAGATTCATTTAAATTCAATACAGATAAACTTCTATCAGTATTTACTTTACCGGATGCAAAAAACCATACAGGCCTGCTTTCATAGTTTTTCAGGTATGGAAACAAAAGATAATCCAAAATACACTTAACAGTAGAGGACCAGATACACTGATGAACCTGTACATAAGACAACTAATATCTGGCTACTTTCTGTTTCCTCTAGCTGAAGATCAAACTCAGGACATGTGACTTTTCCATTATGGTGCCAGTAATTATCCTCCTTTCTGCCCTGTCAGATCTGGATGTATTTGGTCTTATCTAAAACAAACACATCTGGTGGTGAATCTGAAAATACAGCTTGTTTCAGACCCCAAACCTTCCTTTCTCACATACAAGGACCCTGAGGATGTTGAACGCTATTAAGGAAAAATTCCAAGGCTGTAAGAAAGCCTCCGAATGAATAATATTTTAGAACAGTAGCCCAAGGCTGCAGCATTTAATTGAATTCATTGAATTTCAGCTAAGTAGGCAACTATCTTTCTGACCTGAGGGAGACCTGTATATATTAATAACATAAATGTTATTAACAAAGCAGCTAACATAGCACTGGAGACAAGTTAGGAAGTTTTATATTGTTAGCTGAAAAAAATACCTTTGATTGATATGATTCGTGATCAGTCATTTACATCTTACTGTTGTGACCTTGCTGATCCTCACAGTTCTGCTGCATTACATTTAATTGCCACAGTGTGTAATTGCTATGTGCCAGTTGTTATCACCCGTAATGTAGATGGGCTATTTGTCATCTAACTGTGCTTAATTAATAATAGAAAATCCTAACTCAATATTCACTTTTGACAGCCTGAGTTCATGATTAATTGTTTGCTATTTAGTTATTATGATACTGTGCAAGTGACTAACTGTCAGCTGAGAAGGAGCAGGCTAAAGTACAGTGGATGTTTGTGGTATGCTGAAGGAACAAATTTAGCAGAACATTTAGGGATTAAAAATACCACAGTGTCATCAGTCAGGCATCATTTGGGTATCTTATGGCTCCATAAAGGCCATTCAGAGGAGCAGCTGAATTTTCATGTGTGAACATGCTCATTTTGGAACTCCCTTAAAATCGTGGGTAGTGTATGTTAGGCCAAGTTTGGTAAAGGATGAAATACCAGCTGAGCTGGTGTCAGAAAATTATGGAATTATGGAATTAGGAATGTATAGACAAAAAAACAGACAAACAAAAAACCACCACCACCAAGTCATAGTATTTCAGACTAGTATGTTCTTTTCCACTAGCTGCTGACAGAAAATGAAATTCAGTAAATTGCTCCACTTAGTAAGGGTACAAAATACAGCATTTGGGTCTCCTGTTAAAAATATCTTGAAAATGTGCGGGTTCTCGATCCCTGACACCGCCTCCCTTATCGCTGTCTAATTTGTATGGCCTTTAAAACTTACAGTGAGATAAAACAAAATTCTAAATCAAGAAAAAGTAAATGAAGGTAAGAAAGTGGGCAGTTGCCACTTTTATCACAAGCACACACTGAGAAAGAAAACTGTCAGGAAATGACAGACTCTCTACCAGTAACAGCTGTCTTTGCAAGCTTTCTTGATAAATCCAAATAAATAATACAGCTAAAAAAAACCAACACCACTGTTACTGAGAGATTTTCATAAATACCCACTTTGCAGGCATAATAGATAGCAATTTACATCAATGGTTCATAACTACAACACATTTCTAAAACTGAAACCAATGATTCCTAAAAATGTCTGTGTCCCAGGTATTCTTTATTGCCAATAAAGGTGATGCTTTCCAATAAGCAGCTTAGATACAACACTGAGAAACTTGGCTTCTGATCCTCATTTGAGAACCCATGTGAGATAGTTTGGAGACACTGGAAGCATCTGCAAGAGGAATTTTGGCACTTGCTCTTCCTCTATTGATGTGGCACTGGCAGTTCTTTAAAACGATCAGAAGTAGCTTTGAGGCAGGAGTTCCCTCAGAAGAAGTGACGTTATCAGCATAAGCCAAAGTGGTGACAGCTATGTCATTTTTCCTTGAATGAATAGGAATGGTTAAAGAAAATGAAGTTCCTATTAGACTTGTAGTGGTAAAGGTAGTTTATGGAGGAGCACAGATTCTCAAAATGTTTGTACCAGCAGACACATTACAAACATGCAACACTGGGTTTGGTTTTTTTTTTTTTTTTGCATTATCTCTCTTCTCACCCAGGCAACTCTTAGATGGATTTAACACACTTGATTAGCTTCTATTTGTCACTATTGTAACAATGAAGAAATTTACTCTGTCCATCTCAGTGCTGGCATTCTTGTTCACCAAAGTGAATGCTTTGTAAAGCCTTAAAGTCTGTAGGAGATCTTCAGCTGTTATAGATCTGCCACAGTACACAGTTCAGTGTACGGAATTACATGATGCAAAATTTATTTCTTCTGCAAAACAGAGTCATCAGTGAGGCCATAGAGAAGAATATAACATTTCATTTGTTTTAGACATGGAAGATTTCATAAGGAAAAGTCATATCAATGCAATCCTAATGGTTAATTCTGTGTATCAAGCTCCACTCTCACATGGCTGTATCTAAAACATGATAGAGCCTTTCAAATACACAGCAAATAGTAATAACGATGAAAAATGTGAAAACTGTGGCATGGGCTTCTTTGTTTAACTTCGTGTATAAATTATTCCATACCATAAGGGATCACTGTGTCAAGCTAATTTTGTAATGTGCTTGAAATTTTCATTTAAAAAAAGCTTTTATACTACCTATTTACTCTTCACTATTTATTAATGATCATTTCTTACGTATAGTTTAGAGCAGCGTTTTCTATCTTTCTTTCTGGGCAGAAGCTTTTGGCCATGGCAGCCAAAAGCATAGACATTCCTGTCCCATTAATACGACTCTTACAGAAAGCAGTGGAATCACCAGTACTTTGAATACATTCAACTGTTAGTAAAAATGAATGTCTCACTTGGGACTTAAACACATGGAAAAGAGGGCAGCCAGTGAGAGGCTGCTGTCTTCTGCTCCTGTCTACTCTCCTTCATTCTGTAAAACACAGCTGCCCTTTTGAGCAGTATTGCTAACGCAAGGAAAGGCATATTGCAGTTTTGGTTTCCACTTTGTAATTTTTGATGAGCCAATCAAACTTCTTAGGTTAGATAATAATTACCTATGAGGCTATTTCCTGATATTTTATGGCAACAATTTCCAGTCTTTAATTATATTACTTTGAATATTTGTTCTTCATGATGATCAGCTAAATTGCATGTCACAGCCTTACTTTCTCACTGCATTGCAATGAAGCAGGAAATGAATGCCAGCACAGCAGCAAATGACACACATACTTTCAAGA